AAAATGTATATCAGTTTTCTTTTTTCGGTTTATTGGAAGGGAAATGGGACTTTTTTTTTGACTATAATAGAACTAACAGAGGGAAATGGACTTTTTATAATGTAATGTAAGCCATATTTATTTAATATAATTAGTATATTATTTAATGTCGCGAAATGTAATATATTATTGACTTTATTGTGATTGACTTTCTTTTATACAACGTGAATAATATGTTATATTCCAATCCGGCTGCTTTTTGTTATTTTTCTCTTGTAGTAATATTAAATTTTTAAATTCTTCCGCACGCTTATTTCGCATAATAATGTCACCTTTTACATTATAAACGTACGACATTAATTGAAGTACATTAAGCAATTCTGAAATAGATTCTAGGCAAGTGAATCCTATTCGCGAAGCGTCAAGTGCACCTAATATATCTTGCCAATTGATAGTTTGTTTTCGATTTGCTATGTAAAAGTTTATCAAAGTAAATAAAAATTTTTTTGACAAAAATTTATTGAAATGTATAAAAATTTTTAAACCTTGTAAATCTTGATTAATGCATGCAATCAAGCTTTGTGCATATATGTATTGTGCAACTGACTGCAGATGAAGCGAATGTTCCGCAAGGATCTAAAAAAAGTTAAAGTCAGATGAATCGGAGAATTTGATCTACATCATCACAACTGAATTAATTTCACAACATACCACTGGCATAATTTGTTCAATCATTGATTTTGCCCTACCAGCCAATTCAAAATTAAGTAATATTTGCGCGAGTCGTATAATAGCAAGAAAATAACTACTTTGATAACGAAATCGCTCACTTAAGCATAGGGAACTTAAAACATAAGGAAGAGCAGAAGTAGAATCTTTCGCCTCCTAGAAAGCAAATCGGTTAAATTAATATTATTCATCAATTGTAGTAAATATAACCAAATATAATTCAAAATAAACATACTATGCGAATTTCAGCAATTTTGAGCAAATAGTTAGCTACCAACATTTGATTTTGGTTACCTATTCTGCAACTCTGATCGATTAATTTGTGTAGTACGTCCTCTCCCTAAAATTAAAAGAGAAAAATCTGAATTAATATTTTAATGTCATACATTTGAAACATAAAACGTTTACCTCATCCGGTCGATCCGTCTTTGCTAGATAAAGTGCTCGATTAAATTCAAAATCAGCACGGAAAAGATCGTTATCTTGACAACAAGCGCGAATTTGATGTTCAATGGCTCCAATGTTAAAATTTTCATCTCTGTTATATTAAACGAATTAATAATGCATTATGCAACAAATTTAAAATCAAGAATAACATCATGTTTCACCTATTAAGGCTCTTTTGATACATTAAACTTTCAAAGCAAAAAACCCATTGCGACATTGCTCTTCTTATACCATCGAAATGTGCTTTAGACTTTGCAAGGATTTCAAAAGCATTCATATAGTTACCATGAGAGATATGCTGATATTATTTAAAAAAATTTCGTTTGTAAGTAGAATAAAAATACAGTTGAATAACAGATAAATATATTTACGTTATCTGCAAGTTGGCATATAGCAACCACACGATCCTCTGGACTAGGATCGGAGTTATTGATTAATCCATGAGTAAATAAATTTGCTAATGTGTCGCTTCCTATTAATTCACAAAGATCAATCACGAAACGCAAATAATCATAATTTAAGGTTAGGATAATATCAAATAAATAAATACCGTAAGTTTTCCATATACCAGCATTCAACAAGTGTCCTTGAAATTGCATTATTTTAAATGGATAATTCATTTTCAAGACAGAGCTCCGAAGTAATGATTCGAATACTTCAGTAGGGGGGGATCCCTACATTCAAAGATTTAAAGGATTTTTTTTTTATTTTAAAAAAAATAAATTAAATTCTCCGAGCTAAAGAATTTTTTTTTTTTTTCCATAAAAAATGCTCTTTTACCTGTTGAATTTGTCGTTGTGATTTGCCTAGTTCTCCGAGAGCTTGCAAGTACATAAAATTTGAGTGTTTTGTTTTGCTTATGAGTGATTCCAACATTTGCTGTTCTGATGCACCAGTTTGAGTTTCTGTTGACGGATCTGATGATTTTAATCGATACAACCAACTAGATTTCAAAAAATTATCATGTTAAAATATGTAACAAGACAAATTAAAATTAATGATATAAATGAAAATGAAGAATATTACCTTAAAGCAAGACGAAGGCACTCTTGATCATTGTTTTCACGAGCAATTTCGATTGCTTCTCGGATGGCCTATAATTAATTTGAATTATAATTTAGCAAGACACGTTAAATTCATACATAGAAATCAAATACAAACCAATATTGCTTGTTCTTTATGTCCAAATTTGGCGTGGAGAACCACTAAATTTAATAAAACATACTGATACCAACTCCTGGGATAGAAATAAAAGATTTCCTAAGTTCTTTCTATATTCAATAAATAAACTAACTATATAAAATGCTTAAGGTCACTACCTATTTTCTGAATCATCAGGGCAAAAATTTGAATACTTGTAAAAGTTGACCAAAGCTCCTTCATATTCTCCGGTTAGTATACACTTTATAAATCTAGAAATACATATATTAAATATAAAATGATTGAAGTACAAACAACACGTTTTACAAGATACTAACTCTATATAATATATTGATGACATTTCTGGAATTCGCTCGTGTATTTCACGAAGTTTCTCTTCAAATTCTAAGGGTAAAATTCTACCGTATTCTATCAAAATCAGATTAATTCAGTTAAATAACAAACAATGAATGATGTGAATTATTTTAATAACAAAAAAAAAAAAATCATTCAAACTATTTCATACTGTGAAGCTGAGTAATAATATACTGTGAGAATGATTCTGCATCGTTTTTAGGAATCAGCTCTAATTATAATAAAAAATGTAAAATTATAAATAAGAAATAATTTAGCAAAAATACTTATATATCGCACAATACCTTGTCTATGCATATGAAATCGTTGAGCAAATTGTGTCATTTCTGTAACCCCGAAAGGGACACCTTTCATATATACGCTACTTTGTTCCACTACAGGTTTAACCAAAATGTCTCTATATTCGATGAAAGCATTATATAATCGACTCACATCATCAAACATCAATTTGTTCATTTCGAGGATGCAACGTCGAACAAATATCCCCAATAAGCTATATTTTCTCTAATTGATGAAAGTTTGAATATAAGATCATATTCAGAATATAGGAAAAAAAAAATAATAAAATTGAAAGATACCAGAGAAAGTCCACGGGAGATTTCCTAAAATGAAATATTGGACAGAAAATGAAATTTAAAACAAAAAAAAAAATAAATAAATAATTTTAAATTTTAAATTCAATTACTAACAGGGTCGTCATCACAGTTAAATAGCCTTTTCGTTCCTAAATGTGAAAAAAAAACGCGTAAAAACTATGAGATAACAACAATAATTGATTAAAATTATGAATGAATTTAAAATACCTTTAATTAATAAAATGAGTTCATTGGGAGTAACAATATCAACTAGCTACAATTAGATATGCATTAGTAAATATCAAAAAATTGAAAAAGTACGCGTCAAGCTTCAAATACCTTTGCCAGTAATATTTCTTTAAAATTAATTGACATATCTGATATTTTGAAAAGTTCATCACAAAACTCTTTCAGTGTAGGCTCTGGAAATCGTTGTTCATTCTATGATAATTCAAGTATTATTTATTTAATTATACGAACAAAAGTTTTTGTTGTGATAAATACCGATATTTTTTCTATAAGAAAGAATAAAAATGGCTCAATTAAATCCAATCTTGATGAGTCTGTCAGTATTATATCCCAATATTCTTCGATTAAGATCAGCAAAGAAACTTTGTGAGGCGTTAGCATTAAAGTTTTTGCAACGAAGGTTTCCGACATATTTGTATGAAGAGAATAATTAGTCCGGACTAATGAAAAATTTGCGATTTTGATCTGCAGATCAGAGTCACGAAAAACTTATTTTTTGAGAAGAGGTTTTCAAATAACAAAAAATAACACCAAAATTTTTAAAAATATGTAATTTCTTAAGATTTTTTAAATATTTTGTTTATAAAATCAAAATGCATATCAATAAAATACAAGGAAATTTATTAAACACTTTGAATTAAAAATTATTTTTTTTTATTTTTTCTGTCGGCCTGTATTTTATAATAATTGAATTCATAGACAAATCATTTATTAATATTTATCATTATTACTTTCAAAAAAAATCTTCCAGCCCTGAAATAAGACCATCATAATCTAGTCTACTTGCTTTTTGATATAAACTGTTCCATAGATTAGAGGTGGCAAAATTCTTGGATTTTCTTTGCAGTTGAAATGATAATCTCATTTTACTAATCCAATTTTCTTCTTTTAAGAGTTGGACAATGGAGCATTAAATAGAACATGCGTACAAAACTAATTAGATCAAATTGACATTCATAAATAAATTCATTTTCTCCTTTTGAAGGATATCATCTGCTACTATTTCTAGACCCCCTGCAAAATAGTTTGATTCATTAATAAAAACACTATAATCCCAATCACAAATTACTATACTCCCACTGTTTGCATCCCGTAATAAATTGCATTTTCTAAGGTTCCGATGTAATATTCCTGAGTCATAAACCCTTTTTATTAATTTTGACAAGGGAAGAGATATCTTTTTTTGTAAATTGTTAACTTTTTTATATAAAGGCATCACAATAGAGATTGAATTTGAAAAAAAATGGAAGAGATATTTGAAGAGTTCAAGGTTTCTAGCTTTTTCAAAATGTTCACTTCCTTTTCAATATTATCTTTATACTTTAAAATTTTGACTGCAACAATAATTCTATCATGTGATTCTCCACTAAAAACATGACACGTCCTCCCATGACCAATACATCTCTTCAATGTAACGCTACCATGTTCTTTATAGAATAATTGCTGTTTAATCCAACCTAGTTGTTTACTATTTTGCACAAGTAAAGTAGCAAAACAATTCCATCCTTGATTGCCATATTTAAGTAATTCTTTTTTAGTTAACTCATATTTAAACTTGTTAGTGAAATCATCTGAGAATATTGTTAACCTTTGAACCTTAATAAACATAATATCATAGCAATCTGTATATAAAAGGTCTTTGAGGTTGGAATTGAAGTACTTTTTCAGTAAATACTGCAATATATCTTATATCCTCATTTCTAAAATAATTTCTGCGTTTAGTTTTTAACTCCAAAACTATTTTAACATTAAGTGGATCAAAAGACAAACCTTTCTGAATAAAAACAACATCTGTTTTTTATGAATTAAGGAGACTAATATCATGGGAATTATAAGCACAAAGATCAATATCCAAATGTTTAATCAATTCCTTATATTGTTTCATAAAAAATTGCTGATATAAATATTCTTATCTAGGTCTGGTAGATTTAAAACTTGCCTTTTCTATGATTGCTTATATCCAAATTAACTAATATCTCAAATGGAAACTCAATAAATTTATCACTATCTCTAATAAACTTGTCTTTCTCTATTTCTGTATTAATAGCTACAATTACTATAAAGTAGAAAAACTTTTGCAGACTATATATATTGTGGTGAGTTTAATTGTAATAGTTCTGATAAGAAAATAGTTTAAAATTATAGTTTTATAACTGAAAATACTAATATTATAGTGATAGCAATATAGCATTAGTGATAGTTTTCATGAATTTTATTTTAAAATGAAAACGTTAACGTTAAGGAGAATTAATATCATAGAATATCAAAATATAAACAATACAATTAAAAAATATTCTGTCAAGAAAATCTTTCACAGTTGTTTATGAAATTAAGCCTTATATTATTTTTTTTATTAATGAGGTTGATTTGCTTTGTGAATAACGTGATAAGGTGAAAGTAAAACAATCTAAAAATTAAAAACAAAATTTTTCGTTCAAATATATAGTGTAATAAATGACCAAATGGAGTTTTTATAATAGGTATCTTGGCAGTTAGATAGTACTATCAGGTGATGATTTATATGTAAGTGTTAAAGTATATATCGCTAAAATAAAAGGTAATAATAAGATAATTAATCTTATTTAAAATATTTAATCAAAAAGTTTACACTTTTTTTATCGTTATGCTAACTTTATAATTTTAAATATTTAGTATTAGGTTTTAATATTGTATGTATGATGCAACTTATTTGTAAAGTTCAAACTGCGATATATTTCAAAATTATATGTCACACTAGATTATTGTTATGGAGTATAATGATATTGATAATGATAACGATGACTATATATATATCGATATGTATTTAGTTAAAAATACTGAAGGAAAGACATTCTTACATACTTTATTAGAATACTTACCATTATTTTTTTTTATATTAGTGCAACATTATCATTATTATTTGTAAAATTCAAATTCAAAAAGTACACTCAACATCAAAACAGAATTATTGATTTGATTTGTATTTAATTATTCTTATCATTATATTTAAGCTCTATATTAATATTAACAATAAAAATAAAATTTATGGTTGCAATTATCATAATATCAATTGTATTATTATTTTGATCGATTTTGATTGATCATTGTTAAGAAATTAATATGATCGACTAAAGTATCAGTATTAATATAAATTTCATGAAAGTAAAATTTGTTTTTTATTATTTTTAATAAGGGATCAGCATGATCGACTAATGTAAAAAACTCATTTTTCATATGAAAAAATGAAAAAAAGCGTAACTTTGTTTTATTTTTTACAAGAATATAATAAATTAACCATACCTATACTATTAAGAAAAAATATACCTTTAAGTTGTTTTTTAAAATAAATAGTACAATAAATTTTGTAGCAGTTAAAACCTTAAAACAATCTTCTTTCAAAAAGTTTAAAATTTATTGTCGTTATTTTTATAATAAGAATTAAATATGTCTATTACTAAAAAGTAGAAACACTTTGTGGATTATATCGATATACATTGTAGTGAGTTAAATTTAAGAATTTTGATAACAATAAAGCAATATATTAAAAAATACTATTATTTAATTTACTACAAATGATAATTTAGTGATAACAATATAGTGTTAGTGATAATTGAAAAAATACTCTATCATGAAAAGTTAAAAACCTTTCATTAATTATTTATCATTATAAGATTAAGCCTGATATTATTTTATTAATGAGGTTGATTTGCTTTATTAGTGAGAAGGTAAAAGTAAAGCAAATTCTGGTAAAAATAAAATTTCCCATTCAAAATATATGGTGTAAACTAAATGAAATTTTATGTTAGTTGGATAACATTATTTGAAAAGAATTTATATGCAAGTATTAAAGTATATATTGCTATAAATAAAAGATAATGGTAAGATAATCAATCTTATTTAAAATATTTAATCAGAATGTTTATATATTTTTTTATTATTAAGCTAACTTTATAATTATAAAATATTTAGTTTGATATTGTATGATTATCGTTATTAACTCAAAAAACAGGAATTTAGATAAGAAGGATAGATTTAAAACCAATCGTATTAACTAATTGATAGTATATTTTTTAATTTCATTAGCTAATTACGAGTTCTTGGGTAGTTCTGGCAATTGGAATAGCTAGTGACTAAATTTTCTGAAGCAAATAATTCATCAAAGCGATTCTAGATATTGCTTTACTAATTGAGTTAAAAATCTTTGTATGTTGCTAAGGATTCTTTTATTATAGTCGAGAATGCGACTAACGCTATTGTCGAGTAATATTATGCTATAATAGCATTAAAGTTTTAACTTTTCATAGTTCTTCAGAGAAATTAACGCGTAAATTTTTAGTATAGAGTAAATTTTCTAAGATGTATACGCATCTAGATCATTATTCATACTCAAATAGAATATTAGCAAAACTTCTTAAGAGAATTCAAAAGAGGCAGAGCCTATGTTATTGAAAAATTATATGGAAAGAGCATTATCAAACTTAGTATTTATCAGACATGTATGTTAGTATTAGAATTTAAATTCCATTTATTACTCTTTGATCATTATATCTGAAGGAAAGTTTTATGATTATTATTTCAATTTGTAATTAGATACACTATATATAGGAATATCTTGTAAGTATCATTCAGAGAAACAGATATCAATTTATTTCTGTATATACTAATTTACTTTTTACATGACAGGAATGGCAACTCTTTTTTTCTTTCTCGAACAATTACTATCACAACTAGTATTTATTAACCACTGAGAGCAATTTTGAAACTTATACCATCAGTTTGATCAGATAAATATAAAAATGTATACTAAAGAATAAAGATAGGTATAATATTAATATTTATTATAGCAATTGATACAAATAAGAAATAATGTGTAAAGATATTTATTTTACTTATATTCAATATATTTATTGTATTATTTTATTTTCATTATCATTATTCTTTTCAATTTACATTTATTATTTATATAAAGAAATCAGAAGAATATGAATGTGCTTATTTGAAACAGATAAATGTCATTAATAAATGAATGTATCAGGTCATAAAATTATAAATGGTGCACTTTTTAAACAGATGTTAGAATATCGATATTAATACGATAATTATTTTTATATAGAATTTATCAATCTATATATAGCGATAGCTTGCGATAAAGATTTATGCCTCTAAAATTTGATATGATCAGCACAATATACAAATAAGGCGTAACTTTTTTTTTTAATTTTTTTTAATTTTAACGTTAATAAAAATATACTTATAAGCAGTTTCTTTACAAAAAGTTTTATAGTAGTTATAATCCTTAAATAATTTTCATCAAAAGTTTTTTTTTTAAAAAAAAAATGTCTTTTGAAAATGAAAGTATCTGTTTTTGGAAAATGAGAACTCTTGCAAACTATATAAATAGTTGCAAATTTAAATGTAATAATCCTAATAAGGATAACATTTTACTTGAGAATAATGATTATAGTATTACAACTGACAATACTTGTGAAATTCTGGCAACACCTACTACAAATTATAGCAATAGTGAAGATACTCATGAATTTTTGTTTTATTATAAAGCATTTCAAAATGGTAAAGAAAAAGTTAGTTTAGATGAATGTAATGAAGTTAGTATCGATATAATATGAAAGAACATAAACTTAATTAAAAAAGATTCTATTGAAAAAAGTTCAACAATTGATTCTAATGAAAACTATCTAATAAGTGATATTGAGTATAAAATCTTATTTCATGTGTATTGATAGATATTTTTGATGGATAAATAAAACATTGTCCAAATTATGTAAAGCCAGAACATACTCTTTATTCTCTTTAACAATTAATAGAAATGTGAGAAGTTAATGGAACTGTGATTAGTCAAACTAATCCTAAAACTATGTTATACATTTTAGGTGTCTGTATGTCATATTTTACATTTGATCAAAATCAATTACATAAAAAAAATCAAAAATAAACACAATTAGTAGAAGAAAGTTATATTTACTGACATCAATGTCTCTTTTGCCACAAAGATAAATATTTTTTTTTAGCCATGATGAGAGTTGTATAGAGCATTCTGTAAATATTATAAACTGAAATATATAAGTATCTTATATAAAACTCCAAGTGTGTTTAGCTTTTAATGATGAAAATAGAATTTCTAAAAAAAATAATGATAATATAAATTAAGCAGCACGTTATATATGTTCAGTATGTTTTCAAACAGAAGGTGGTCATTTTTTTGAGTGTATAGAAAGTGATACAAAGGTTTTTTCCTGTCAGAAAGAACATAATCATGATATTATTAATGCTTTTAAATTATTAGGATGATTTTAAATGTGACTAAATCAGATGATGATAAAATGAAAAATATTTTATTAATAAAAATAGGTGCAGTAATTAGTACAGTTATTAAAAAAGTAAAACAAAAAGGTGATAATGTTAAAGAAGTGATTCTAAGTTTATTGTCAATTAAAACTATATTATGTTTAACAAAAATAAATTTAAAACTATTAAATGACAAATATTCAATTATTAATTTATTGAAGGAGTAATCAAAAAAAATTGAAAAAACTTTTGGAATATGTATATAGAAATTATGTTTGGAAGTTCATGAAAAAAAAGGAATTTGAAGTACTATAATCACTTAAGGAATATCAAAGTGATTTTTCAATAATTTTAAAAGAATTTTTTGATAAATTTATAACTGATTTATAAAAAAAAAAATATGATGTTGTAGAAAAAAACAAAAGCAAAGAAGATAACTACTAAAAAAATTTGATAAAACTCGTTCAACAAAAATATCAGTTTTTATTATTTCAATGGTTTTATTAATCACATTTTCAGAAGTTAATGTATAGCTTATTCATATTATGAGTTTCTTATATCGAAAACCAAATCTATAAGTTCTCTTCACAATTTTATGTATAGCAAGTATAGTTTTTCATATTCAACGTCATGAAAGAAGGTTAGAAAAAATAAGAATGGCAAAATTAAACCCAAAGAAAGGTTGCAGCAAGATAAAAACATATAGAACATTTTTGTAATTGACAATATAGACTTTAAAGAACAATTATTTGCCTATGGTAATATATATAATGTAACTTAAACAATAGTATATGTAATATTACGAATGGGTTTTCAATTTAAATTACAATTCCTTTTTAGTCAATTATAAAAGAGACCAGTTATATTGAAAAAAAACCATTTAAAATTGGTTTATCACAGTTTGTAAAAAATGAAATTCAAAACTTTAAAAATAAAATTGGTTCATCATAGTTTGTAGAAAATGAAATTCAAAACTTTGAAAATAAAATTGGTTCATCATAGTTTGTAGAAAATGAAATTCAAAACTTTGAAAATAAAATTGATTCATCATAGTTTGTAAAAAATGAAATTCAAAACTTTGAAAATAAAATTAACAATTTATTAAAAATTTATGAAATGGACTTGATATGAATACAGTTTATCAGGAATTAGTTAAAGATATTGAATTAGGATGTAAATTATTACCACCTAATGTAATTATTTTAGAATCTGGTAAAAATCTGTGTAATAATGAGACTGTATACAATGCTTATAACATATTTTAAAAATGTTTTTTCAAAAAATGGTGACTATAAAAACATCAATATAGCTTATGATAAAATGATTTTTCGTCAATTAATTTCTTATCAAGAACAAAAACCTAAATTGAGACTTTTACTTAATGCATGGTATACAAGTAAAGAAATGTGTACCACTTTGATTACTATTTTTTCAGGATATGAAATTTTTAATTTAGCGGCTTGTATTAGTATTCACTATTTAGACAAATTAGAGAAGATAGTAAATTATCAAGCGACATGCTATATCTTAGAATTAATATGGGTAGCAGTTGGAATTTCTTTGAATCAAATTTTGAAATACAAAAATCAAACCTTTAATGATATTATTCAAAGTGATAATAACTATATAATAAAAGTATAGTATTTATATTTTTATTAGTGTAGATATTGGATAGGATATAAAATAGGAATTCAATATAATTATTATGATATACAATTTGAAAATTTGATTGCATTTGCCTTACTTTTTCCTATAGTGAAAAAAAGTAACTATGCAAGATTAGTTACTCATTTTTTATATCATTTTTGAAAACCCATCTTTACAATTATTACTTTGTCATATATGTTTTATCAATTTTACTAGTCCAGATCATTTTTTTACTTTTGATGAAGTATTGAAAAGATTTGGCGTAAAGTATATAAAATAAAATATTAGAAAAAATCCTGATAATAGAGAAGATTTAAAATAATAAATAAGTTCTGTACAATCAGAATGAGAAAGATTAGACATACTCTTAAGTAAATATGTTAGAGAAGATATTTTAATTAAAAATAATTATGCTATAAAGTCTCGTAAAGAAGCTCTTTGAAATTTGATTAATCAACTTACTAATACTTTTAATTTTACGGATCTATCTACTCATAAAATATTAAAGAAACAATTGAAAATAATAAAGATAGATTTAATAACCTATTTACTTGCTATGAAATTGGAGTTGAACAACTTAACAATATCTATGCTCAAGAAATTAAAAAAAAGTATTCCTTATAATACAAAAGGACAACGCGTAAAAAATATAAAGATAATTACAATTGAACAATAAAAAAAAGATAGAAAAAAATCATAAAGAATTAGAAAAAACAATTAAAAAAAATAATAAAATAATGTAGCAAAGTATTGTGCTTAATACAAAAAGGCAAACTCAAATTATACATTATGAAATAAATAATGATAACGATAATAATGGTAAGTATAGATAATGTTTAAAATAGATTTTTTACATTAAATAATAATGATAATAATAATAATAAAATATTATTTATCATTACAACCTTATAACATTAATGTTAAAGTTTCAAATTCCTAAATGATGATATAGATCTTTAACTAATTCAAAACAAAATATCTTTTTAAGATTATAACAAATATCTAAATTATCGATAGAAAAAACAAAGGAAGTATTTATTGAAATCTGTTCTTTACTAGATAGCAAACCTGAAGATTGGGATATAAAAAGAATTCAAGAAATTTGGTTAAGATACAGAAGATAGGTTAAAAGATAAAAACAAAATGTATAAATAAATAAATACTTACCGTTACTATTTTTATATTAATGCTAATATTAATGTGAATGTTAATGTTAAATATAATTTCTTTTTCATATATACATATTTTGCATAAACTGCTTATTTTTGTTGCCTATTTAAAACTATCTTATAAAAGTAAAATATAGTTCAAAGAAATATAAATTTTTTGAAATAATAATAATTGAGACTTGGCGAGTAAATATTTAACTTTAAAAGTTATTTTTTTTTCAATTGTTGTGATATGATAATAACGTAATCAATATTTTTATATTATTTATTTGCAAATCAAAAGATATGTGTCTAGTGACCAGTAACAATTATGATCTAAATTAATAAAAAAAATTAATTTTAAAAAAATTAATTTTAAATTTTTTTAATTCAAAAAAAAATGGCAATAATCAAAGAAATCAGACAAGAATTAAATAATGCTAAGGGGAGGTTGAGTAAGGTAGAAGAGGAGGGAAGGATAAACAAAAACGATTAGTAAGGTTAGAAGAAAAGTTGGATGACAAAAATTACAGGAATAAAGAGCAGAAGAAAAGATAGGAAGAATAGATAGATAAGCTGAAGAAAGAAAAGAAATCATTAGAGGCAGAGAAAAAGAGGTGGGAGAATCAACTGGAATACTTACAAAAGAAACTAGTTAAATTTGAAAAAAGAAAAGATAACAAACAAATTGCATAAAAAAAAATTTTTTTCATTTATTTCATTTCGTTTATTTATCATTCATATATATTTTTGACTAATTTCCACTTATTTTTTTCTTTTTCCTCTTTATTATTGCAGCAGGTAAAATGCAAAATTATATAATTTCTTAGAAAATGAATGATTTTTTTTATCTATTCATTTATTTACTTTATTTCTGTTCATTTACTTTCTATTGCTACTTTTGATTGACATCACAAAAGGTGTTAAGAAAGATCAAGGTAAACAACTATTTACACACTCTTAACAATTTATGTTCATTTACTTTTATATATATTAAATTTTCTTATGTCTTACAGAAAGTATGCAAGTAGGACTAAAATGTAAAAATGAAAGTAAGTTTATTATTTACTACAAACTATAAAAAAATTATTTTCAGTATTAACTTTATATTATTTAACAACACTTTCTTTATAGGTCAGAAAGAGAATTTAATAAAAGTTTGTAGAATGGATTTTCTCTTATCAGTTATTATACATTATGAATTTTTTAAACAACAAAGACAAAAGATTATTTTGAATGGTCATTTATCCAATTATATTAGTTCACCAATTTTCTTATATCATAAGAATTTTTCAAAATTTTCTTCTGATTTCAATAATGAAAATCTTGATTTATCAGATGGGCTTTATGCATAAATAAGTAAATTAATTAAGAATATAGCTAATGAATATGACAATAAAGATTCACATAAGTATGCATTTATTAATCATATTACTGAATTTATTGTTAAGCTTATTGAAGTAAAAATTGAGAATAGAAGTAACAATAATGAGATGTTATTGGTAGAAACTGCTTATGATAAAAATGGATTACGAATTATTCATGAAATTAAAAATAAAATTAGTAAAGAGAAAGTGATCCAACAATTCAAGCAACTCTTTTATATTCAAAGTATTGGATTCAAGAACAGGTATATTTTCTATATATTGATAATATCTATAATGCATTTTCTTTCATTAATTATTAATTAATTATTTCTAATATAATGTGATAAAATCTGAGCTATATGCAATTGTCTATCAATACTTCTTGCTATTGCAGGTCTATAGATCTGTGTTCTGAGAGGTATTTATACTTCTAATCCAATAATTAATCCTCTTATTGATTTCATTCCAATAATATCTACTTTTGATGAAAAATGCTATTAACATATTGCATGTCTTTTTTAAGTATTATACAATACAGACCAGTGTTTAAAAAACTTTTATCAGGAATTTGATATATCCAAACATATAAAAATTGAGAATTCTCAACGATTTTACCCATATCCTCATCAATATGTCACAGATAATGATGTAACAGTACAATTTATTTATGAAGATTAGTTGACAAAAGACAAATCAAAGCTTTTATTCAAGAGAAAAACTTATAATAAATGTGAAATTATTATCAAATTTACTCAGAGATATAATACTAAAGCACACCATCTTTATGTTGAGAAAAACTTTGTATCAAAACTTTTTTGTGCCAGTAACATCAATTTGGGAGGATGGTACATGATTATAATGAAATATATTAATAATGAAATATTACAGATTGCAAACATTATAAAAGAGGAATATAATGATGTTTTAAAAAATATTTAAGAGATCATTGACACTTTGCATACTAATAATATTGTTTTTAATAAATTACGTAGTTCAAACATAATTATAAAAAAGGTTGATGGAAAATTACAAGTAATGCTTATAGACTTTAACTGGGTTAGAATACATCAAAAAGATTGTTATATACCTATAATCAGGGTTGGGAAATTAGTACAGTTAGTACAGCTTAGTACAGTTTAGTACAATTAGTACACATAATAATTAATATAA